AGGTTTCCTTTGGGCTCTAGTGGTGTCTAGAGATTTGGGAGAGATCGATCCTCCTCTCGAATAGAGGATCAAGTGTATCTTGCTATTTTCCGTTAAGCTTTCATCAAGTAATACAAATTATATACTGTTTTTGTGATTTTGTGCGGATTATTTAGAAGAATTCTTGTTGTTTTCAGAAGATTGACAGGAAATACTAGCAATCTACAAGTGTTTCCTATTAGAATACTAAAAGAAGGGGAGAAAACCATAAAACATTAGAAACACACTGAATTGTAGTCGCCCTGAACTGGCTTCAACCAGTTCCCTAGCAGAACTTCAAAATTAGCTCAAGGATAACGTCATCACGATTAAAGAAACTAAAGTAATTACAATTTTGTATAAAGAAACTTCTAGAGTTATTTATTACTAACATCCCCCCGCAAGCTAATGATATCGGAAGAAATTAGTAGCTTGGTTGTTAGCTCTTTGAACCGAGCATTTGATAATGACTTGGTAAATAAATCGGCTAACTGATCTTTGGTAGAGATGTGATGAACTTGGATGCAATTATTTTGAATACATTCTCGGATAAAATGACAATCAATTTCAATATGTTTCGTCCGAGCATGGTAAACTGGATTATTTGCTAAGGCGATAGCCGAGGTATTGTCGCAATACATAATTGTTGGTTCTTTTTTAGGGCAATCCAGTTCTTGAAGTAGACGACGAAGCCAAATAATTTCAGTTGTAGTTGCAGCTACGGCTCGATATTCAGCTTCAGTGGACGATCTTGCAACGGTAGATTGCTTCTTTACACTCCAAGAAACGAGAGAGTTGCTGAGAAAGTTGCAGTATCCTGTCGTCAATTTGCGATCCTGTTGATCACCAGCCCAATCAGAGTCAGAATAAGAAGTTAGAGTGAGAGAGTTACCTGATAACGGTAGACCATGATGAACCGTTCCACGAATGTAACGGAGAATACGTTTTAGCGCAGAGAACTGATGTTCAGTTGGATTGTGCATTGCTTGACTGGCGCGGTTTACTGCATATGCAATATCAGGTCTAGTTAAGGTTAGATATTGCAAAGCCCCTACCAATTGGCGGTATACGGTAGGATTTGAAAAACTTTTGGATTCGACAGAACTATTTTGTTTTGGATTTGCCGGAGTTGCCAAAGGTTTACAGTTTTTCATACCTGCTCGTTCAAGAATTGACTCCGCATATTTGGTTTGGTGTAACAGTAAGCCACCAGCAGTTCGTTCAGCAGTTATACCGAGGAACTGATGAAGTGAACCAAGATTTCACATATTAAACCGTCCATGTAAGCTATCCAGTAATTTCGTATGTAGAGAAGTATCATTCCCTGTTAATATAATGTCATCTACATACACTAAGATATACATTAGTGCATTTTGTTTAGAGTATATTAACAGAGATGGATCCGAATTGCTTGTTTTAAACCCAAATTTATGTAAAAAACCTGTAAATGTTTCAAACCATTTCCGAGGCGCTTGTTTTAGGCCGTAAAGCGCTTTGTTTAATTTACAAATGTAAGTAGGATGAGTAGCATCTGTAAAGCCAGGAGGCTGCTTCATATAAACTGAATCAGAAAGAGAACCATGTAAAAAAGCATTCGAGATATCTAATTGATGCAACGGCCAATTACGATGTAAAGCAATGGTAATAAGAATTCGTAAAGTAGGAATTTATACAAGACTAAACGTATCAGTGTAATCTATACCAAATTCTTGATTGTATCCAAGAGCAACTAGTCTAGCTTTATATCTCGCAATTGTACCATCCGAATTTGTTTTAGTGCGAAAAATCCATTTACATCCAAGCACATTTAAATTCGGATTAGGGGGAATTAATTCCCAAGTACCTTGCGATTGAAGAGCTTGGAATTCCGTGGACATAGCATGACGCCAATGCTCATGCTTGATCGCTTGACTGTACGATGTTGGCTCAGGATCAGTGATTTGATGTGTTAGATCAAACACTTTCTTGGGCCTTAAATGTCCAGTGCGTAATCTTGTTTGCATCGGATGTTGAATAGGTCTGGGGCTGGGAATGATTTGAACCGAAGTAGAAGACCTCTCAGATGGCGTGAATGCAGGCGGCAGAGTATGTGATGTACTGGAATCCGATGAAGAGGATTTCGATGACCACTTCTGTAGTGCAGTTGTAGGCACTAACAAGAGTGGTGGCAGATATGTACTAGAACTAGTAGATTTAGATGAGGAATGCTTACGCAGTTGATCATGAAAAGGAAAAATGTTCTCATTAAAAATAACATGCCTGGAAGTAAAAACACGATGGGATTTAGGGTCCAAACACCGGTACCCTTTTTGATTTGTAGCATAACCAATAAACACACAAGGCAAAGACATAGAAGACAGTTTAGATTTAGCATAAGGGCGTAACCATGGATAACATAGACAACCAAAAACCTTTAAATGCTTGTATTCATGAACTTTACCAAATAATTTTTCATACGGAGTGGTGTGATTTAAATTAATTGTGGGCATACGATTTATTAGGTAAGTTGCCGTGTAAATAGCATCAACCCACATGGATGTTGGAGCATTGGAATTAATAAGTAAACTACGAACTGTTTCAAGAAGATGACGATTCTTACGCTCGGCTAATCCATTTTGAGCTGGAGTATATGGACAGGTATACTCATGCTTGATGCCCCATTGAATACAGTAGGATTGAAACAGGTTGTTTAAATACTCACCACCACCGTCTGTTCAAATAATGCGTAAACGAGAATTAAATTGACAGGAAATCATTTTATGAAAGTTAATAAAGACAGAAGTAATAGCAGATTTATTTAAAAGCGGAAAAATCCAACAGTAATTCGTGTAATCATCTATAAAAGACACAAAATAACGGTATCCTTGCACATATATAGTAGGAGATGGCCCCCACACATCTGAATGAACTAAATCAAACGGCTCATTCGTGTTTGAAACAGAAGCAGAAAAGAGTAATTGTTTACTTTTGGCTAAGTGACATGTGTTACATTGAGTGTGAGAATAGTTTGTATAAATGCAAGAATGAAAACGAGACAAAAGTTGTAAAGTAGAATGAGTCAGATGCCCAAGCCATTTGTGCCAGAGATCAGGAATTGTCTGAACAGAGATTAACGCAAGATCTGCAGGTTGAATGGAGGATCGAACATGGTATATACCATTATGGCATGGACCGTGAAGAAGAAGCCGATTGGTCTTCGAATCCTTAATTTGATAATCGTTAGAATCAAAACGAATAATACAATTGTTATCTTGAATCAATTTATGGACAGAAAGTAGATTGAATGATAAGTTGGGAACAAGATGAATATTATGTAAAACAAGATTACCTGACGGAGTAGGTAATATACCTTTCCCTGTATGACGAATAGGGATTTGCTGGCCATTTCCAAGAGTAACTTGAGAATTACCTGTATATGGTTCGGTTGAATTGAGTTGAGAAGAATCAGTTGTTAAATGGTTGGATGCTCCACTGTCAAGAACCCAAGTTGATGCTCGTGAATCGTCTGGGATAGTGAACAAAGCTTTCTTTGATGTTTCTTCGGTATAGCTCGGATCTGTTCGATACCAACAACGAATGGCCGAATGGCCATTTTTCGAACAGATTTGGCAAGTTATATTTATTGCAGGTCTTTCACTTGATTGTTATTCTGATTTGATCCACGACCTCGTTTGCCACGGTATGTGTTAGATCTTGGCGACCACGACCTCGAGACGCAAGTAAAGCCGTCATGTTGTCGGATAGATGAATTTGTTGAAGATCATTTGCTGCTTCTTGAATGAGATTCTGTTCTTCAGTGCAAAGCAGACTGTACAAATCATCCAAACTGAGAGGTTGGAGATTTGTGCGGATGGCAGTTTTGAAGGCCTGATACATGGCGGGAAGAACATTGAGAGTATAGAGTATCACATCTTCTGGATCTATTTGGCAACCAGCTGCAGCGATGGAATCTACCTTGGATTTGATTTCAAGAAGATAGGCAGTCATCGTTTTATCACCTTTGGTCAGGTGATGAAGATCATTTTTCAGCTGGATGACACGCGATCGGGTGGTAGATTGTAGCAGATTTGAAAGAGTTTGCCAAATCTCATAGCAGTGATTTAAGGAAAGTACATAAGGAAGAATAGAAGGAGAAATAACCGAGTATAAGGCAGCAGATAGATTTTGATCGGTAAGAATCCAAAGATCACGGGATTCAGTAGATGTCGTAGGGCACGACGAAGATCCGTCCAAGAATCCTTTAAATCCGTTTGCTGAAAAAAAAAATTTCAACTTGAGATCGCCAAATCGGGTAGATGTCCGGCGTTAAGGAATTTGGAACTAATTTCTTGAGATTACTCATAAGAAAAATGAGTTGAGGTGGAAGAACAAGCTGAGAAGGAGCGGTGGAGTCCGCATTTGTGGAGGAGTTGGACATCCTTCCGATGTAAGACAAGAAAGAAGAGAAAAAAAAAAATCGGAAGACGAGCTAGAGAAAAAATTGCTCTGATACCATGATAACCATGGGATACCGTGAGGCTACAGGTTGAAGAGAGAGCAAAGCACATAAAATGAAAGAGAAATTGTATTCATAATAATCTCGGTACAAGCATACTATGGTCCTTATAAAGAGAAAATAGAAAAGTACATGTCATCAAGATTAAAGAAAAGGACACGTCATCACGATTAAAGAAACTAAAGTAATTACAATTTTGTATAAAGAAACTTCTAAAGTTATTTATTACTAACAATTAGCATATTATAAACAACAAAAGTATGATGGCCTCAGATAATGAATCTATGGAAACATATTACTGTTGACACATTAAAAATAAAAAAGAGTTTCTTAAGTTTCACCCTTCTTAATAAATTGGAATATCAGTCATTATTCCAAGTTCAAAGATAAGTAAAAATAAGCCCTCTGAAATGACCTACAGAAACTTGGAAGTAACTACACGAATCAGCAAGAATAATTAGTGCATTGACAGAAGTTATACTCATACCTTTAAATTTGTTTGAAATTGTTCTAATCCAAGCTGTATCTTTGTCGCTATATGCATAATTTGCACTAGATGCCAACAACACGAACCCTTCAATATTTGTTCTACTATCGACCAAAGCACAAGAATCACCAAAAACTGGCTGTACGAGCAGAGAAAATGTTCCTCTAGGTAGCATTTGCCGCAGTTCAGAACCTGCTGACACTAGTAGAATAATATAGAATAAATATTTTTTTTTCATGGCATAGTACTATAGTAGTATAGTAGTATAATAACAGTATAGTAATATAGTATAATAAAGTATAGTAGTATAATATAGTATAGTATAATAGTAGCAGTAGTATAATATAATAGTATAGTAGTAGCGTAGTATAATATATTATAGTATAATAGTATAGTATAGTAGTATAATAGTAGTAGCAGTATAATATAGTATAGTATAATTATAGTAGTAGTATAGTATAGTATAGAAGTAGTATAATTTAGTATAGTATAGTATAGAAGTAGTATAATTTAGTATAGTATATTATTGTAGGACTAGTAAGATAGTATAGTATAGTAGTACAACATAGTAATAGTAGAATTATATAGTATAATATAGTATAATATTGTATTATAGTAGTATAGTATAGTAATATAGAATAGTATTGTAGTCGTATAGTATAATATAGTATAGTAGTATACAGTAGTAGATAACATAGTGTAGTATAGTAGTATAGTAGAATAATATAGAATAAATATTCTTTTTTCATGGCATAATAAATCTGAAAAAAGAATATTCGGAGTATAATTTTGGGAAAACATCAAATGCAGAATACACCAATGCTTATGGTAGAAGAAGCGTCCAAATTTCATTTCTAAAACGGTTAACAAGACTTTGCCAGGGTAATACACATAAAAGCTTAAAAAATTAAGTACATTCTATAACTTCAAGGTAATGTATCTAAATTAAACAATGCTTGATAAAGTATTAAAAAATTAAGAGCATGAAATTTCCAGTCTCGTTAAATATTGCAATGACATTGAAATTTGAGAGCAGGAGGTTTCATAGTAATCACAATAACATGATTGAGACTATGAAGGAAATTAGAAAATAATTGAAGAATGTGTGAATATGTGGATGTGGGTGTGTGAGGAGGGGTTTGGGGGTGTTGATAAATGTTTATTTAGTTATGCTCCAACTTTATGAATAAAAATTCAAGTATTGTCTAAATCTTCTAAGCGCATAAAAAAGAAAGCTTACCTGGTCTCTGTGGAAAATAAAGAGTGTCCTTCAGATCCAGGAACCCCACTTCTTCAAACTTCTTTGTCAGACATTCCAGTATTTGATCTTTGGAAATACCTTCGGGCATATTCCAATAGCCACGTACACATGATGCATCTTGGAGCACAATAAGCTGGTTAAACAAGAGTCTTAGATATATTGCTTGTCCAGCAAAGGAAAATCTCAGCCACAAATCATATTTGTTATATATCACTTAACATTATCTTCCACAAAAGTGTCAAACCATCCAGATGGATAGTTTAAGGCACACTCCATTAGGAAGAATGATATCCATACAGTACAAATCAGCTAGCATTTTTTTTTAATATTATACTATAGTATGAGTTCTTTTTCTTTTTTATTTTTCTTTATTTTTTTGTGTGTGAAGTCATAACCATTAACCAGTGCTATGTTTTAGTATTATTGGAAGTATGAAGTAGTACCACTGACATGGAGTTTGTATTGCGCAAGAGAACATATGATGCCCATGCTAAATCTTCCCTTTGAGAATCTAAGAGATTTTCAGACATAATAAATATTTGTTGGTTTCCTTCTGGTAAATTTGATCGGTCTACTGGATTTTCTCCCTGCAGCAAATTTCATACATAAGAATGCAAGAAAGAATTGTCCCTAAATTAATACCAGTAGAAATGTAAACCGATTCTAACTTACCGTTAACACTGCGTTTTTTTTTTTCATGAAAATCGTTTGGAAAAGTACGAACAAGCTACGACAGTCAGCCACTGAAAAATAATGATCCAAAATTGTGCAGGCCAATACTATAAAAACTAATACTGCTAAATGCTATCATTGAACAACCTACGAGCTCTAACAATGCGAGAAGAGGAGAGATTATGAGACTTAGTTGTGATCAATGATCGTTGCAAGAGATTATTATAAGACTAGATGTATTTCTAAATTTGCATCGTAGTAGACTATCATAGTTGTTTTGTAATTTCAGCTTTATAGCAGTTATGGGAGATGCTTTTAAAAAAGTAGTTTAATTATATCATTGAATTTTATTTTGGCTTTTAATACAGATTTTTGTTTTTATCGGTGTATTAGTAAAATTGAAGTCAGAGAGACTTTAAAGAAAATGAATGGTAGAAAAGCTGTTGGACCTGATGATATTCCGATAGAGGTGTGGAAATGCTTAGGAGATGAAGGAATTTCTTGACTTACTAAATTTTTTAATACTATTTTGAAGACTAAAAAGATACCAGATGAGTGCATAATTAGTGTGTTAATTCATATTTTTAAGAATAAAGGTGTTGCACAAGATCTTGTGTGAATTATAGAGGAATTAAGTTAATGTATTATACTTTAAAACTATGGGAGCGAGTTATGGAGCATAGGTTGCGGCGTGATACTAATGTTTCTCAAAATCAATTTGGATTCATGCCAGGTAGGTCGACTATGGAAGCCATACATTTATTAAGAGATTTGATGGAGAAATATATAGAAAATAAGGATGATCTACATATGATATTTATTGATTTAGAAAAAGCATAAGATAAAGTTCCAAGAGAAGTGCTATGGAGAGTTCTTGAAAAGAAAGGAGTTAATAATGCTTATATTCAAATCATTAAAGATATGTATGCAAGAGCTATAACTTGTGTTCAAACACAAGGTGGTTTGACCAAGTATTTTCTTATTTCGGTTGGGTTACATCAAAGATCAGCCTTAAGCCCATATCTTTTTGCTTTAGTCATGGATGTTCTCACTAGACATTTGCAAGAGGATGTACCTTGGTGCATGTTTTTTGCTGATGATATTATTCTTGTTGATAAGACTAGAGAGAGAGTTGAAAGTAAACTTGAATTATGAAGGTCAACATTAGAGACTAAAGGTTTTCGCTTGAGTAGATCTAAAACGGAATATATGGTGTGTAATTTTAGTAGTACTAGATCTAGTGAGGGGATTGTGACTAAGCGATCAAGTCATTAATAAGAGTACACGTTTTAGATATCTTGGATCTTTTGTTCAGAGTGATGGTGAAATAGATGGGGATATTATCAGCATAATTCAAGTTGGATGGTTGAAGTGGAGGAATGCATCGGGCTTGTTGTGTGATAG